CAGGCAGATTGTAATTTTCGTAAAGAAGAGATACTATTGCTCCGTTTTGGATGTTATGCGGCATAACTTCGCCTTCGTAGACTCTATGAGCGAAAAGGAGAAATATACTGGAAAATTCCTCGTTACGGAATTGTAACGTAAAAATTCGAAATAAGAGTTGACGATATTTATCTACGTCAGTTCTATTTCAAAGCGTTGTCCATTTTTACGAACACAGGCTTGGCATCTATCCAAAAATTGAATTTATTACATTTTCGAATTTCTAGCTGATTCGCATTCATTTCATTAAACTGTGTGTTAATTTCTGCATCGTAAATTTCTTACACTCCCTACAAGTTAGAACCAATGGCGTGAGGTCTGATGACCTTGGAATTGGTCCTGTCCGACCTATCCATCTTCGTGAATAACGCTGATTTAGCCATTGCCGCCACTTGTACTGCTTAGTGTGCAGAACAGCCATCCAACTGTATCCACAGATTTCGCCGAATGAACAATGAACAATATCCTCTGGTTCCAATTCATTTTGTAGAAAATTCAACTATCAAGCACAGCTTGTATAGACAGATTAGATAAATATTGCCGATCCATTCTTATGTTGTATCCAAGTGAAAACTCATTGTGCTGTTATTTCGAATTTTTCGTTGTAGTTTCTCAACGACAAAGTTTTCGGGCGTATATTTATGTGACATTTTTTTCTTACTTTCACTTGTAGCATCTACCGGCAAAGTTATGTTGTAAAAAATAAGGACAACCTGTATATGTACGTGCAGTTTCATTAAATCCTTCGAGCATGAGAAATTTAAACTAAAACGACTTAAAAAGTACTTATACTCCAATATGTGGGAAATAGAACGGGGGATGATCCCTTGTGAGAAGATAAATCGAAAGTGTAGGATAAAATTTTCTCGTCGAGAGCGAGAAAGTCGAGTTTGAAAATTTATCGAGTACCGAGGCAATTTTTAACGAAACATTCAAAGTCTATTTTCTTGAAAATGAAAAAAAAAAAAAAAAAACGTGTTCCACATTCTTGGCCTATTTTTGCACATAGAATAACTTCTTGTGAATTGTCAAATTCAGATATACCTGACAAATTTTCCTCGAATGAAAAAATTCTATTCTCGCTTTTTCAAAAGGAATCACTCGCTGCTTTGCTTCTCACGTTCTATAGAATACCCTGTATATACAAAGTTCAATATTTCTCAAATTGCAGAAATACGTGGCAAATAATTCCACGCCAAGATAAATTTGCATCTCAATTTGTAAGACAAATTTGTTTGAAATTTGCAACGAAGAAAATTGCAATCTTACAGAAGCCTCCGACTACATCGTGAGGGTGAATGATGAAAGAGGCTACAGATTTTCCTATTTAAAGATGGGTATATTTAATTAGCTGGTATATTTAATTAGCTGTGATTCGATTGAGAATTCGATTCGCTCTGAACCAATGGTTATTGCCGATAAATCTGTCCCTCTTTGTTTTTCCGCTGTTCCGTTCCATTAGCAGCGCGGTTCGTTCGCAATGGGATGTACGATGGCGCGTCGCGACACCATGAGGCCGGCCGCCATGTG